TAATGGGAATAAAGGTCAAAGTCCAATCTCATGAAAGATTGGATGAAGCACCAGAAAAATCCATGCTCACAACTACTAACAAGAAATGCCTTCAGGCACCAAATTTAGCCAATCACACTTAGCAAAGATAGAGGAAAACATTGCACTTGGTTGCATGCTAGTAAGGAGGAAGAGCTCCACTTGGGGTCCCATTCTGGATGTAAAAAGATGCTCATACCATTCACATATAACAAAACTGCCATCTCAAACAGTGATGGTCATAATCCTAATCTGCTGGAAAACAGTGTGTGTTTTCAAGACAAAAAGAGCCAGTCTTACCATTAGGACAGTCCAGCAAAAATGCATGTGGAGAAAAAGAGAAAAGTGGAAATTAGATCTGTGCGATTGCAAGGACAATCCAGCATTCCTTAAGGTAGTCTGCTGCCATCAGCTGTAATGGACAGTGATGCCATGGGCGTTAAAGGATACGTTGTCAGGATCTGCACAGAGGATTAAGAGGAATCATCTTGTACTTTGCTTTAAACCAGTAATTCTCTTTTTTCCCCAAATTTTTTTATTAGTTTATAGTATACAATATAAAGAAAATACAAAAGTAAATAGTGGGAAGAATAGGGAAAGGGAAAGGGTGTAGAAAAGTGGGGGAAGGGAAGGGGAAAAAAGAAAAGTGTTGACTTCCGACTTCCTTTGGTGCAGTAAAATAGAATATATACATCAAACCTCAACTTTTTACTTTTACAAAATAATATAACTAGCCATTTTGATTATAACAATTCTATCTAATCGGTAAAATCCAAAATCAAAATTTTATTTTTTTTCCACCTCAAGCACGAAGTCCAGAAGTGGTTTCCAGAAGTACTTGCATTTTTTTTCTTTAATCAAAACAGTCAATTTAGCCATCTCTGCTACTTCCATCAGTTTTTTCAGCCATTCCTCCATTGTAGAGATCGATATGGTCTTCCATTTCTAAGCATAGAGTAATTTTGCTACTGTCAACATATATAACATCAAATTTCCAATTTCCCCCCCAAGTTTTTGTCCATTAGCTCCAAGAGAAAAGTCTCTGGTTTTCTTTCTATATTCACTTTAAGAATTTTCTGTATTAACATATGAATTCTACTCCAATATTTCTTTGCTTTATCACATGTCCACCCAAAATAATAATTATTCTTGGAGTAGATTCAAGTGATTATGTTGTCAATTTGTTCTCTGGATGTTGTTTTGGGTTTGTTAATATATGGCTTATATTATTGGCAAACAAGTAACATTCAAAAACATCAGATGGCTTCAAGGCAACTTAGCAACAATGCAGGGATGAATTTGTGATATTTGATATGCTATAATCCAGATGTAGATTGCTTAATTGAGAATTAGGGCAACATGTAAGATACACTTTAACATTAGACTTTAAAGATGATGTCACTCGACTCCAAGCTTTCCAGTCATTAACAGTGCAGGAGAAAAGAGAAAATTGAATAATACTATAACCCTATTGACACATGTGAATGTTGTTGAAAGCAAATTTTTCATCGATGTACTTTCCCAAGTTTTTACTAAGTAGTAAAGTCTGTAGAAGATTAACATGGTGTTTTCAACTTGCCACATACTTTGGCAAATTGTTGCTAAATAAAATATTATGAAACTAGTTGGTTCCAACTGGAGAGCACCAGATTGGGAAAAAATGGCTATGCTGTAAGCCATTTTTTCCCAATCTGGTGCTCTCCAGTTGTAATGTGATTGCAAAATTCTGAAATTCCAAGATTTTAAGCCAGTAGGGGCTTTAGGAATGCAGGATGTTAACAGCTCCAATCCATATGAGGTTGATGAAGATTCCTCTAAATTCTCTGGCTTTACATAATGGGATGCTTTTAGAAATGCTGGATTCACATGTTTATTACAGCTTTTGTCATCTTCTTCGGGAGTGGGGGGGTGGGAAGAACCCATGAAAGCACTCAGTGGATGTGAAATATGTGTATTTGGGGAGCAGTTTCCTTCTGTGGGACCAGTATGACTATAGACAGCAAATGATTTTGAACTGTAATAACAAGAAGATTTTGTGGTAATCTCCTGACTATACAGAAAGTTAAAATCAGAGCCATATGCAACCAATCACACCAATGATGCATTGCTTGTCTAATCATTAACTTAAAGTGCCATATAAGAATTTGTAATCCATAATAAATCATTTTGCAGGAATGATTCAATGTATTACTGACTAATGCAAAACAGGCTTCTTTCACAGGCAGGGGTCTGCCAAATATTAAGGGGGTGCTGGGCAAAACAGAAGAGAAAAAAAGAGGATTTGGGATCTTTAATTACATAAATTATAGCAATTGTAGAGCAACAATACATCAGTGGTGGTTTGCAGATTATTGGTTTTTAAATTTAGGAAGATTAAATTAACTAACAAGAGTTTTGCCAGGATTGTGGTGCAATTATGATTTGCAAATATGGATTCAGCTATTTATTAAATGCCTACAAATGGAAAATTTTGGTGACAGAATTTTGAACATTGGAATATTCCAGAATGTGAAATGCCAATGAAAAGAGAAAGAAAGCACAGGAAGAAGAGTTTCCAATCTGTTTACTGAGTGTTTTCCTGCACAAAGTTTCATAAACTACTGTTAAAAAGAACTGAGAAAACTGGTTTTATTTTAAACTTGAACTTGTGTTGGCTTGTGTTAATCTCTGTTCCACTTCACTGTAAAGATAACAAGAGGCAGGAGATTAGAAAACCCAGGTAACATCTGGGTGCTGACATTGGCCTTAAAGATTAAATAAGCTAATAATAGGGAGCAATGAAAGAGACTGGGCTCCATTGGTTCCTAATATAGGATTCCCAGATGTTGGTGAATGGCAAGTAGCAGAAGCATGGGCAATAGTTAAGAATGAAGGAAGATGGAATTTAGTAATATCTGGAATGTTGCAGGCTCTGGGGAAACTTTTCCTCCAGTATCTCTGTAAATGCCACCTTCTGATCTGAGGTGAACCCCAATGAGGAGAAGGTGAAGTGCTCATACCTAGGTGTTGATATTTTCTTCTTTTACTGATCTCTGAATACTTTTTATATGTGTTTGTTTCAACTCAAGTTTCTCTTTATTTTACCCACAAACACATGCACACTTGGCATACTTTGGTTTCTTTCAAATTGAAATCTAAACAACACCCTGCTCCCACCCGCCCAATAGTGAAGTAACAAGAATGGGAGAAAATAGCCTCAAACCAAACTTAAGCCCCAACCCCAATTCATACCGTATGCACCTCTGCTCTAACCTTTAGCAACTTCACAAAACCTAAAACTTGGGGAAGAACCACTATGGAATAGTGGTTACATCAGGATGCAAACTGGGAGACTGAGTTCTTGTTCCTGCCTTAAGCAGAAAGTCAGCTGGGTAAACTTGGGCCAGAGATTCTCTCTCAGCCCTAGGAAGGAGGCAATGCAAACCACTTGCCAAGGAAATTGCAGTCTTGTCCAGAGAGTCTTCGAGAATCAAACACAATTGTACAGATGGGGGGAAAAAAACCTGGATATGGGAGAGGTTCAGCCTCTGCACCATCAGCCATCTTTTTCATCCATCAAAATGAGCTAGGTCAACCTTTTTTTCTTGCTATTTAGAATGTTATTTTAAAAATGAACGTTTCACCACCAGCCAGAATCATATTCACTTCCTAAATATCTCAGGTTTGACTGAATCCTACAATAACACTGCCAATAAAGTGACAAAGTAAACTGTATTTTTAAAAGCTTTATAAATATAAATTAGTGATATTTTTCCAGAAGACCACATAATTTGCACCTCTACCAGTGATATCTTTATGGAAAACAACAAAGTTCTCCCTCCCTCCCACCCTCAAAAAAAAAAAGAAATGATTATACACACACACACACACACATACACACACACACACACATCCCTTTTCACCCTTAGGAGTGGTCTGGGTCTTCCTCAGTCGTTGATCATTCTCATATATTTAAATGGGACTAAAACTTACCTAGTATGCCTACACCCCTTAGAATTCTCATCAAAGGATAAGGCAAAATGCAAGAGAAGCTTATCTGGAGCCCCACTTTACAGTGCCTGGGACTGACCAATAACCCCTGACCACCTTGAACAAGTCCCTGTGGAGCTCTCATGTCCAAGGCTTGTTGAAGCCAGGAAGTAAAGGAATCATTACTTGGGCATAAGCCCCCATTTCTATATTCTCTGATTAACCAGTCCTTGAGATCCAGCAGCAGTGGCTAAGCTAAGTTTTGAAGACAGAAGCATGAAAATATGGTCTTCGTTGAGCAGCTACTGGAGCAAATTTTCATTAATCACCTTGTCCTGCTTGTTCAGCTCTCACTCTTCAACTTCTTTCTGCCGCCTGATCTTTTGCACCTCTCTAGACAGTGTTTTTCTAATATCAGTTTGGTATTGATTGCTGTACATTTTTAAGTACAATTTTTAAAAGAATGCTTTTAACTTATGGGTTGTCTCTTGTTCCATCCTTCTATTTGGCTTAAGAACTACAATAATAATTTAACATGTGAGTACTCTCTTGTCTCTGATTCTCCATTTGCTGACTTGGTAAAGACTAAAATAGGATACAAGTATCCTCATGTGCTCATTCCTGCTTCTTTATATCTTCTTGGGGTAAAAAGCACTGGTCCCTCCTCGAACTACTCATGCTCAAAAAAAAGATCTGGATTTCACACATAGCCCAGGTTTAAATAAAAACTGAATAGCCATTTGCATATTATTCAAGAACCCAGGGGCAGGGGGAATAGGTGAACTGGAATGGCAGGGTGATTTTAGAGATGCAAATGCAAAATGTTACACACATAGAAGGAATATGTCCACTTGCATTTAGTTCAGCTGCCTGATGAATGAAGAACTGTTTTCAGCAAAAATAGTTGTCAGTAAAATTCATGTATATGGTTTATATTTATTAAGATTATATACATATGTTGGTGGTCTTATTGAAGTAACTGCAGTCTTTATGGAGCTATTAAGCAGCTCTGTTTATGGCAAAAGTGGGAATAGTTTCTCGTAAGGAGGAGGTAAGGAGGTAAGATCTTCATCCAATATCTCTTCAGCTTCTTCAAGACTGTTAGTTGACCTAGAAATGTGATGGGTGGATGAGCAGGGAGAGAGGCATTTTATAAGACGCAACAATAGCAAAACAAACAAAGGAGATATGAATAAAAAGAGATATTTTAAAACATATCACAAGTGTATTTTGTTATATGGAATGATGGGAACAGGCAGGGGGTCTTGGACATTTGTAGTTAGGGTGGGTTTTATATGCATGTCCAAAACGTGTCTGCATTTCTCCCTGCAAAACGCAAGTGAGAGACAAATGTGCACTTACTGTACAAAAGCTTGATGATGCAGAAAGGTCAATAGAGATTAGTGTGTCTCAGTATTGTTATCCTTATGCTTTTGTTTGAAAATGTGTTATTTAACAGCTGGTACCTTAATTATTGCAGCAAATTCAATATATAACCAAACATCATTTAAGTAGGATTCAGATCATATTATTGAAATACACTGTTGCACCATAAAATGATAATTTCCATCATACCATTATAAGAAAATTGGAGGATATCATTGTTTTGTGTGTAAGATGCAACCTTCTCTTTACTTTATAAGTTCTAATGCTCCAAAAATAAACTCTGGGTCTGAAATCCATGAAGGTCAGGTTGTGATAATAGATTATACACCCAGTAATCCACTCCTTTTATTTTGATTAAATTATTATATACATTGATTGGGCTAAAAGAAAGTTCTTTCAAGATAAGAGAGAAATGTACTTGAGAAAAACACCAACACATGGAAAATTAAAGCTGCATAATGCATGTTAGTGCATTATCCAAGGCGCCTGACGGCAGGACGAGAAGCAACGGGTGGAAACTGATCAAGAAGAGAAGCAACTTAGAACTAAGGAGAAACTTCCTGACAGTTAGAACAATTAACCAATGGAACAACCTACCTCCAGAAGTGGTGAATGCTCCAACACTGGAAGTTTTTAAGAAGAGACTGGACAGCCATTTGTCTGAAATGGTGTATGGTTCCTGCCTGAGCAGGGGGTTGGACTCCATGACCTCCAAGGTCCCTTCCAACTTTATTATTATTATTGTTATTGTTATTGTTATTGTTATTATTATTACTTAAGTGGAATAGCAATAGCTTCAACTTTATAGTTGAAGCTTCAGGCAATGCTTTCACTTAAAGCAGTTACAGGGATTTTACACAAAGACTGATACCAACTCTACTTCCTTAATATCTTCCTTAATAATATGGATCTTGTAGTTTACCCTAAAGTATAATATAGCCAAATAACTTACCTTTCACTTATGATGTCCAATGTAAGATAAGCAGAATAATTCTCTTCAGAAAAAGCTGAGCTGCCCATGGAAGTGACATTATCAGAATGAGAATGGTTAAGAATAGGAATTATTGATGAGGAGCCAGGGAGAAATTCAGAATGGCTCAATACTTCCTGCAAATTGGCTGAATTGGTAGCAACCCTTTCCTGGGTTGGAGAAGGCAGGTCAGGAACCATTGCAGCTCCATGAAGAGTGATGGGCTGCCTAACTGCAGGATAAAGCCCATTGTATGTTCTTTCAGTATCAAGTGACCTTTCTTCATTCTGGTTGCAGGAGTTGCAGGAGAATATTTTAAATTTGCATACAGCAATCAGCAAAAATGTCACACCCATTAACAGCAGAGTGGGTCCAAGCAATCGAGTCCATTCAAAGTGAATAGCACCTTCATATTTCACCCATCCAATCACAGTGAAGGTGATTCCTATAACCCCCAAAATTATTCCAGAGAAAAGTAATGCACCGCCAGCTTTGTCATCATCAGATGCAGGGATTTCAGAGTGATTTGGCTGGCAAGGAGAGACAAAAAACCCATTGGCAGAGATATCTTCCACAGTGTTGTGGTTTTGCTCCATTACCCAGGAGACCAGTTCTGAAATAGCCTGGAAAAGGATATGTTTAGAAAAATATTCCAGGCTGAATGTTCCTATTTGTTACACAAGAACTTTGTTCACATTGATATAGTTAAACTACTGCAGACTCTGGACTTTCTGGTCCTAAAGGGGCCCTTCAGTTTATATTGTGTGTTACTCCAAGTTTGTCTTATCCTACCTGCACTGTCTCCAGAGATAAATACTGACACATAACTTCAGGGTTACATCTAACCTGTGCATCTAACCTACATCTAACCTAAAGGAAGTTCATGCACAAATTACAATTAACCCATCCACCCCCATTTTCATAGTAAAAAAGATACAAGGGTGGAATAGGCAATAAATCTCCTTCATACTTTGTTGTTACTACATTCTCACTTAGAGCAAAAACTCAAAATAAAACTATTGGAAAGTTGCCTTGTCTTACCACTCTTCTCTTTGGCAGTGTGTGTTGCTAGATTTTTGGATATCTTCTGTAGGGATTCTAGATTATTAGAAGTGGGAATAAGTATGTGATCACACCTCTACATTTTACAATGTTATCCACCTATCCTTGAGTCAGCAGAAAACTATGCTGGTTTGGATTTTGCTATCTTATCCCAATCCTGACCTTATGACCTCTGGCCCAGTTGCTTCAGTCACCTGAATTCTTTCCAGAGTAGTGTAATGAGTGAGGAACAGTTATCCACTTTAAGGCTGCTTTTGGATGAAGTCAGAAGAGGAAAATATTACTTTAACAGCTGAGAATGCCTTGGGGCTATCTCATTCAGGAGCTGAGGATAAGATGAAGGCAACATCATAAAGACAGTAAAAAAAAAAGTTGTTGCTGGAATATCTGTAGCTGGGGATATCATCTGGTCCTGCATTTTGGGATCATTTTAGGCAAATCACATTTTTTCTAGAATATATGTTATGGTTAACAAAGAAATCCTATAAAGAATTTTGCTCTAGTGTAAAGGATTCTTTTCTCTAAAGAGTTGAGATCTGAGTCATGATTTTTGATTTCTCCCATTTGGTAAGTCAGATGTTACAAGTTTACAGATGGGAGACAGATTGCAGTCTAATTGAATAGGCTTCCTATCTGAACTATTTTTTTCTTCCTTGGTGCTTCTTCCAAGTAATGTTCCCAGAGTCTATGATTTGGTCTTTTATAAAATATAAAATATAAAACAACATTGCCACAACTAATACCTAAGCTGGTTGCCGAGATATACTTTCTTATTTAAACCTCAGTTTTAATCATTATAACACAGGTACTAGGATCTGTTTATGCTTACACCTCTTTTTTTTTATAAAATTTTTATTAATTTTTATAATTGAACAACAAATAACAATATGATGCATTTACATACACAAGCAAAAAAAATATCCTACTCAAATGCTTACACCTCTTATTTCTCCTCTATGCATGAATCCTAATTCTACTTAAAGTTTTAAGGCTATAATAGTAATTCAGGGAATGGTTTTTGGATCAAATAATATACAGTTTTGCAAACAAAAATAACTTCTAACTGTAATACATCTAATTTAGGTTTCTTCCTGAGACAGCTTGTTTTGCATTAATGCCTTGCAGAAATGCTAATTTGTAGCAGTGAATGAAGAAGACAAGAGTCAGAGGATGGACACGGCTGTTACCAATATCCTGTTTCTAAAGTCCTTGATGAGCATAAACTAGTGGCATAAATGAGTTGAAAAATGTTTCAAAATCTGGTAAATGTATTTTTTACACAGTAGCCTAAAAACTTGCTTCCAATTTGTCATATAACTTCTTTCAGAATTATTGTGAGCTCATAAATTATTAAATTATTTCTAACTGTTCTTTAAACAGCCCCTTTCAAAGCAACTTGCAAAGGTGAAACTCAAAATAAAAAGCAGTGTTTCTCAACCTTGACAATTTTAAGGCATGTGGACTTCAACTCCCAGAATTCCACAGCCAGCAATGCTGGCTGTGGAATTCTGGGAGTTGAAGTCCACATGCCTTAAAATTGTCAAGGTTGAGAAACACTGGGCTAAGTAAAATCAGTAGATGTTCACAAAAAGCCTGACCCAGCTGGTGGTGCAGAAGCTACGAATGCTTTGTGAGGGCATTTGTAGGTTGCTCCTGTGGCAGGCATCAAAACAGAAATAAATTAAAAGCAGTGTCAAAATCTTCACTCAACATTTTTCAGCTTTTCAGGCAAGGGACTTGGTAATTCTGCAAGGTTTTATCCACTGCATTTTTAAAAAAATGATTTTAAGGGAATCAAGAAATATCAGGGGTCTTCAAACTTGGCCCTTTTATGACTTGTGAACTTAAGCGATGCTGGCTGAGGAATTCTGGGAGTTGAAGTCCACAAGTCATAAAAGGGCCAAGTTTGAAGACCCCTGCCTTAAATGGTAGTTCTCAAAAACCTTTCAATGACATTTGAGTAGTTACACTGAGGAAAATAGTAGAAACTGCAATTCCAGAATGTAAGTATCAGGTCTGGGACTAAATGAATAAGAAATACTTTGCCAGACACTTGAACCTATCAACCTAGGGGAAAAGCTAAAATGTAGTGCAGTAGAAAGTTCCAGAATTCTCAAATTACTCAAATGATAATCATCATTTGAATAATTTTGAGGTACAAAATTTAGCTGGGAAAATCTGAATGCCCTCAAAATGAAGGAAAAACAATCAAAATCTTGTATTGCCATCTAGAGGTTGCTTTTGTTTTTTATTTGGCCAAATTTGGTTTGGTTACAAAGATCTGGAATGTTCTGCTGCCCAAAGCAGAATATCCTTGGATGCTCATGGGCTGGAACAGGTAGTGGTGGTGGCACCAGCCAACATGGCCAATAGGTGCTATGTTGATCCCACCCTCTGTGGGTCATTTGACCATGGCACCAACTGAATGGTCAGCAAAATATGTCAAAATATGTATCTACAGGTAAACAATTGTAGCTTGTTAATTGATTAATTGAGAAAGCCCTAATTTCAATTTGAAACAGCTATGGATGACTTTAATATGTCTCAAATATAACCTGGAGTGAGAAGAAAACACCATTATGAGGACATTGTAGAAAAAAAAGAGATGATTAGATATACAGGTAGTCCGAGTATATCCGAGTGCGCTTCAAGGTGTTGATTATCATCTTTAAAGCGCGCCATGGCATTGGACCTGGTTACATCCGAGACCGCCTTCTGCCACAGATTGCCTCCCACCGGCCGATACGCTCCCACAGAGAGGCCCTCATCAGGGTGCCGTCAGCCAGACAGTGTCGGCTGGCGACCCCCAGGGCAAGGGCCTTCTCTGTCAGAGCACCCACCCTCTGGAACGAGCTGCCCCCAGAGATCCGGGTGATTCCGGATCTCCCCTCCTTCCGCCGCGCCCTTAAGACTTGGTTGTTTCAGCGGGCAGGACTGGCCTACGGGTATTTTAAATTGGTTTTAGCCAAATTTTAGTAGAAGCGGCCGATTTAAATATTTATTTTTAATGATTTTTTAAAACTTTGTATTGTATTGTATTAAACTGTCTTTAAACTGGCTGTAAGCCGCCCTGAGTCCTACTGGAGAAGGGCGGGGTATAAATATAAATATAATAATAATAATAATAATAATAATAATAATAATAATAATAATAATAATAATAATAATAATAATAATAGAGCCCAAAATTTATGTTGCTAAAAGTGAGACATTTGTTAAATGAGTTTTGCCCCATTTTACGACCTTTCTTGCCACAGTTGTTAAGTGAATCACTTCAGTTGTTAAGTTAGCGACATGATTGTTAAGTGAATCTAGCTTCCCCATTGACTTTGCTTGTCAAAAGGTCACAAACGGTGATCACATGACCCGGGGACACTGCAACCATCATAAATATGAGTGAGCTGACAAGTATCTGAATTTTGATCATGTGACCATGGGGATGCTGCAATGGTCATAAGTGTAAAAAATAGTCATCACTTTTTTCAGTGCTGTTGTAACTTTGACTGGTCACTAAATGAATTTGAGGACTATCTATATTCATGCTATTATTAAGTCACTCTTAGAATAGAGTGAGCCAAAGGAAGTGTTGAGTTGTTCTGCTTGTTCATCTTCACAGAGCATTTTGTATCATTATTCCTTTTTCTTTATTTTGAATACATAGATTCAAGCCATCTTGGTTGTATATCACACTTTGCTTGCCCTAGTTCTTTCAGAGCCTTAATTTTTCTGACACAATTTTAAAATTCCATTTCTTCTAGGTAGCCTACCCCTCTTTTCACCTCTGATATCTTTTTTTGTTTTCAGATATTTTACTAGACATTTTGTACAGCCAGCTGGTGACTTCTATGATCTTCCTCCCCACTTTCTTGTTAGAATGTGCAGTTGTGCTTTTTTTAGGAACCCCCTCTTTTCTTTTCCTATTAACTTTTGTTGTCATGGAGTGCTACTTCCTAGCATTGTTTAGACTGTAGTCAACTTTTATTTTAATAAACTAACTTTGCTTTAAATTCTTTCCACATCAGGAATTGCAGCATTGCTCCACTGTTCTGTTCAATGATGCTGACTTTCTAATAGGCGTGTCTAGGACTGCAATTTTAATTATTTATTGGAACTTAACATCATATTGTTATGATTATCAAGGTAACAGATATTTCTTAACCCCAAATCTTTTCTGGTAATTTCTGATAAGCATATGAGTAAATAAAAAGTTTAGCAAAAGAGGTCAAGCTCATAGAAGAGGCCAGGTGAAAAATAAACAAATGGTATAAGCTGTCTGGATTATTATTTACAACGATCACAATTCCTGTGAAATTAGTCATTACACAGTTGCAGGGCTGAAGCATTAACTCAATTTAATTTTAACAGTATTTTTAGCCATTGTCTAAGTAGGCTATTTATCTAAGGACTATAACAGATACCATTTATTTGTAAGTGTGCAGTTGCAGAGTCCACCTCAAAGCATTACACATTATTAAAGCTGTACATAAACAACTCACAAAGTGGCAATGGTTCAGTATAACTTCAAATTTAGGCT